GACCCCATTTCAACCTTGTGTGAAATATAAAATGCAGCAGTTTTCTTAATCAAAGAGTCCGGAAAGAACCACTTAAGGCTCTTTCATTCTATGGAAGGAAGAAAAAGGTAAGTTTAAACTCAGAAATAATCTAATTAGCCTTTTGGGAGTTGTGGAGGTCAGGGATGAGTGGACGAATGCTCAAAGAAAGCTCTCAAGAAATAGGGCGACCTGGCCGTAAACACACACACAACCCTCATACGCCTGCTCAGATAGGACTGCCGCCGCCTCCCGAAGCCAACTCATTCTGTTTCAGTTTTTGGCAGCTTCGCGCATGTCACTGACGCGCGTTTATTCTCCCCGGCAGGTGTGAGACAGCGTGGTGAAGATGGGATCGCCACGGCGCTCCAGCCCCCCATGGCCGACGTGGCTGCTGGTGTGGTTCGCGGCTCCGCTCGCCCTGGCGGCAGGTAAGCACCCTCCTCCTCCTTCAGGCCTGAACCACACCCTGCGTAAGATACCTGCCCTACGGTCAGTCGGTGCTGACCGCTTCCTAGAGTGGCCAGGGGTTCTCGTAGTCACGAAAGGTAGTGCTTTAAGCTTTGGGGTTGGGGTCTAACTGCAGTGGGTACGCAGTAGTGGCTGCAGGTTCTACCGGCCGTAAGTTGTGGTGGCCACACAGTAGTTTGTTTTCACTACCTGCAACCTGCAGTAAACATAATTTGAAGTGAATTGAAATATGTAAATAGAATTATGCTACAAGCAATTATAGCACAAAACTGAATGTAAAAGGTAGCGGTTATAAACCAAATGACTAGAAGCAGTCGCAGCTTTGGTGACTACAGCACAGTGCCCACTAGTCAGAGTGATCATGTGGTGTTTTGGTTACTAGCTGTTGTGGCGATGGACCAAGGGGGTCACGAGCGGTTCAAAAAGCTCGCTGGTGACTTTCGCTTTGGTTTGTTCTGATTTGAGGAATAATCACATCAGTCGAAATTAGTTCGACAGTTCAGATCCACATTTCTGTTGTATTATGCATAAGTAAGCTTGACATATAATCACAAATATCTTAAGTGTTTTCTCCATTTCCCATTTCCATTCTCAGTGGCTTCCCTGGATATTGAAGGTAACGACAATTTCTATAGTAAAGCGCATGACTTGCTGGGAGAGACTGATGGTGATGATCTCAGTGAACCTCGTCCCTTCGTTCTCTGTGCCCCGTCGGGCTGTCGGGACGCCCGTGGGCCCGGTTGCTGTCTGCTCTACACAGGCCTCTCGTGTCCTTTTCTTTCTGCGAGCATGGCTGTCTCTATCTATCTGT